GCTTCTTCTTCCTCTTGCTGTCTCATTTCTCGTTCCCGCAATTCTTCTAATCGTTTTTCCTATAAACAAATTTTTGAAAATCTTACCTTGCAAAAGAATGCCAAAGTTACAATTACAACAAAATATTACACTAAATACTGATTATAACAATACCAATTACAGTAAAATATATACAATACTGATTACAACAATACCAATTATAGTAAAATATTTACAATACTGATTTTAACAACACTAATTATAGCAAAATATTATATAATATTATAATACTATAATTATGTTACACATAAATATAACTATAAATAAAATCAACCTTAAGTTGTGTAAGTGACAGTTCAGATTCCTCTTCCTGATCGTCCGATGGAGCTTGCAGAATGTATTTCCTCTGGCTACAGCCAAACCTTATCATATGACCACCATGTAAACGAACATAGGTCCTTGGTTTTATACGATGCCCATTCCAAAATGTGCCATGTGTACTCTCCAAATCATATAAATAAAAACCTGTAGAATTTTTCTCATCTGCTGTGGCTCTGTATTGAATAATCGCATGGTACCTTGAGATAGTCGGATGAGCAAGAGATAAATTGCAGCAAGGCAATCTTCCTATCATGTAAAAACTTTTTTCAGTTAAATCAAGTTTTTCTAGAATTACTCCCGACTTAAGAACTTCCAACTTATATTCCTCGATTGGTTTCCCACCCCACTTTGGCTCTAAATATGGTATAGGAATATTTCTTGTGTCAGATGAGATATTTTCCTCTATGGAATCTTCTATTATTAGCTTATCGCTCTTATCTTCGGCATTATCTTGGAATTGGACAGGCCCAATAGCTTCTTTATTCACGGACAATTCAGACAGTGAGAGTGCTGTATCATTTTTCATAGTTCGAATTTTTCCAGTTTTACCCCGCTTGGGACCGATCAGTAGGAGCGGTTTCTTAAACCCTGGTTCATTGCAGGTATCTGTACTATTTTGACAAGATGCGTCCTCCGTTTCTGACTTCTTAGTGCTCTGCTCATCACACGTCGGTGATTTGGAAATCATTTCATCGTTACTTGCATCAACGTTATTGTTAGGAGTATCCTTAAGAAGGGAAGTTACAGAATCGTTTTCCCGTTCGTTTGCTTCCATGGTTGCAGTATTATCAAGTTTTATGTCAGAAAGCAGTCAACTGTCATATAAATTCTTGTTTATATTATTATAAATTATTATTACTTCATAATTGTCAATCAGGATTCACGTGGCACTTTCAATGTTTGGACATCAACAATTGCATTGAACTTTGCATAACCCTAACTGACCATAACCTATCAACTGACGCAAATAATTCTCCACCTTCTACTACTATTTACTACTCTCTCTTTATAAAGTGCAATTAAAAATGAGACCTTCGTTCTGAGGATTTTTTAACTATGTATTAATTTAAATACGAATTTAATTACGAATCCAAATTACGAATTACCATACACTAAAAAAATATTAAAAATCGACAATCTTACGGAAATTTATTTGCAAATTCTTGTAGATATATAATTGGAAAGTTCGAACCGACAATCGATAATATCGATACTTTTGAATTGGAGTACCTTCATTTATCGTAATTAAAATTTACCAAATGTCGATCGTTAATTTCTTTCTTTTTTTGACTGAAGCTTAAAATTACATCCGATAAAAAATCTTGATTTAGAACAATTTTAATTTAAAATTAAAGGATTCAGACAAATAATAAATAGTTTCGAACAATATGCATGTTTCTTAAAATTTGATATCAAATAAATAAATTACCAAATACATAATAAATCTAACAATCCTTTATGATAAATACTTATAGCTGGAATAATCGCAGAAACAATCGTGAGCGTCAGTTTAATAATAGGACTTGTATACTTAGTTTATTTAATTAAAATATACAGATTATATAAACGTGATCACACATTTGTTCGAGTTCCTCCGATATCTACTTCCCCCTGTCACAATTCTCTTAACCTGAGATAAATCGCTATATATTATTTCTTCTCACTAACAGTTCTCTCTTCGTCTCTCTCGCTTTATGTCATAAATTCTTATATTCTTCACCTCTTAAAAAATACTTGGTTTCATCATATCTCTACGATGTAACAAATGATAAATCTACGGGCGCGCAAGGTAGATTCGTTTTTACATTCGCCTCCCCTGTAATTTGTTTCAACAGACGAACGCTATACCGAGGCGCCTTGCTCCTCTTTGCCATTGATTGACTACATTTACACAACTTAATTTATGCTGAAGTTATAACATCAATGTTATAAAACTGGCCAATCATACTTATTCTTCTGAAGAATGGAATGACTACGATTGACTAATTTCATAACATAGATAATATCGTAATTAATTAGATAATCATAATTTGGGCGTAAATCGAGTCGTGTAAACATAGTTATAATCGTTTAAATTTATCTATACAATTTCTATGTTTTTATATATATATATA